AAATAGCTACGCGGAACCCGGAGCATAAACCCCGGGGAGCAGGGGAAGCAGCTGACCCTGACGAGCCCGATGACAAGACGCGGAAGAACAGGAGAGAGGCCCGGGCCGCCCCTCAGAGGCCGGGGAGGTGGGCAAGGTCAGCAGGACCGGGCCCCACACAAACGAGATGGGGAGAAGCAGGAAGGGAAGGGGAGGAGGGAACTGTCAAAAGGGTGCGCGGGCCGGAAAAACACCGTGAGGCACCCAGCACAGCACAGGACATATTTAAGAATCCGTGTTTGTGAAGTAAGGTTAAACAGAGAGAGGAGGACAGGAAGGGCCTCGAGGAAGAGCTCGGGAGTTTACAGCAGGTGAGACAGTAAGAGGTCACTCAAACGGGACTGCCAAGTGGACACAGCGTCTGGCAGGAGAACACAGGGTGACCCGAAGGCATACAAGACGGAACGAGCAGGAGACAAAGGGACAGAAACGTGGGACCTGAGAACACAATCGGAGGCTGTGTCTGCTGGGCCACAGATGGCAGGGGACAGGGGACCCTGGAAGGCGGCTGATGCTCCTGACAGCGGAGCCCCAGGCACACTGTGCTGGCATAGGGGGGCAACGGGGCCTCGCCCATCACGGGCTCCACCAGGTCAAAACAACAGCTGTCCTGGGGCCTGGGGCCGAAAGGGATAAGGGGCCAGTCCTCACTCCACTTGTGTGCGCTGGCGCCGAGCTCCCTGGGCCACGAAAGACAGACGACAGGCCTTTTCCCAGCAACCAGAGGTACAGGGCCCTCTCCCAGCCACACTCCCACACCCTCTTCCACCCGCTCCCGGCTCCTTCACCCCTCCTCGGGTTGGCAGTAAGAGGCCTGCAACATCAGAGGGGGAAAGCTGTGCTTGAAAATGTTTTGTTTCAAAACTGTGTTTTCCGGGACGCCTGGGTGGCTCAGTGGGTTAAGCCTCTGCCTTCAACTCAGGTCATGATCTCAGGGTCCTGGGATGGAGTCCCTGCATCGGGCTCTCTGCTCGGCAGGGGGCCTGCTTCCTCCTCTCTTTCTCTCTGCTGCCTCTCTGCCTACTTGTGATCTCTGTCAAATAAAATCTTTAAAAAAACAAAACAAAACAAAACAAACAAACAAAAAAAAAACCCCTATGTTTTCCCCCAGAAATGTCAACATGAAACTCACCTGCGAGAGCATCAGAGTCCTCCCTGCCATGCCAAGCTCCTGCTCTGTGGGATCCCCTCCCTCTGCCCGGGTGAGACCCCAAATCTTAATTGTCCTTCAGGGATTCACTATGCCTCCCAGCAGCCCAGGCAGAGACTGGACAAGCCAGAGGCAGGCTGGGGAACACGAACCTTCAGAAGCCCCTGCAGGCTGCCGGACGACGGACTCGGGAGTAGATCTCGGCCACTACGTACGCCTCAGATTCCTCACCCTCCAAGGTGAGACAGGGGCTCTCAGGCCATTTCTCCACTCACTGAAGCACTAACATGCTGTTTCTGGGCAAACATCTCACAAAAGCAAGCCCTTAAAATGCCCTAAGGGCCCGGGGGGAAAACTCCCCTCCATCTTGCTTGTTTGCCATCTAATTCAGAAGAGTCAGTGAAAACATCAACATGATTTCTTCATGCTACGGGTACACTGATCCCAAAAGATAAATTTTCATTAAATCAATCAAATACAATTAACAAACAGGAGGCCCACCTGTCTCTAGTTACACTAGGCGATTTCCACCTAAGCCATTTTCTAGCAATACTGAACTCAGTCTCTCTCCCAGTTGACAGACAAGGCCATGTGTCAACTGACTGGCATTTTCCCCAACAGTCTCCTTCCCCCAGGGGTCCCCCGAAGCAAGACTTGGAGGCTCAAATGCATTCCCCAGGCCAACCACCTGCCCAGCACTCCCACCACTACCCAGCCCTCGCTGTGGAGCTCTCTCAAATCCCTTTCCCTTGGAGGAGCATCTGGCTGGCTCAGTCGGTAGGGCATGGGACTCTTGGGTCTCTGAGTTGAAGGTTCAATCCCCACACTGGGTGTGGAGCTTACTTAAAAATAAATTCTTAAAAAAAAAAAAAAAATTCCCTTGAAGCTAGAGTTTTGTTCCTGCTTCAACTATGTCTCTCTTCACCCTGAAGAACTGCACAGAATATTTCCAGACTAAATCTATTATACTACTGTTTCTCCTCAATGAAAAAAATAATAATAAAGCAAGGTAAATAAAGAGAATTTTATGACATACAATTCCAGTCCGAAAAGTGGCCAATGACACCATACAATAATCACTAAGGACTTAAAACATTCTAGGTCCTGGGGCGCCTGGGTGGCTCAGTGGGTTAAAGCCTCTGCCCTCAGCTCAGGTCATGATCCCGGGGTCCTGGAATCAAGCCCCACATTGGGCTCTCTGCTTGGCAGGGAGCCTGCTTCCCTTCCTCTCTGCCTACGTGTGATCTCTGCCTATGAAATAAATAAATAAATAATCTTAAAAAACAACAACAACAAAACATTCTAGCTCCTGTCTAATTCTGGAAGGAGAATATATTTCATTTTCAGATTATAAAATATTTTCCACAACCCAAAAGAAAACGACTACTTGCCTCAAAACAAAAGCAATTTAAAAAGCAATTTAATTTTAAAAGCCTAGGGGGACGGTTCAGAACTTCAATTTCAAATTCTCCCGTAAATCCACGCATAAAATGAGCAGAACAAACGTCACCATTTTGAAAACAAGTAAGGAAAATAAGGAAGTTGATCATTAGACGGTCAAAACTCCTCTTTATGTCTAGTGTCTGCAGAAGAGACAAAAAAAACCTTTGCCTCCCACAATCAGGGTTGCACTGAGCTTTTAACATCTACTGAAAGTTTTACGAAACAGAATGCACCACTCCTGGCTCCTGTGCCCCCTGAGGACCTGGCCTGGCCCAGTCCCTAGAGGCCCAGCCCCTAGAGGCCCAGCCCCTAGAGGCCCAGCCCCTAGAGCCGTATGCAGCCTCACAGGGGGCCACTGGGCTCAGCTGCTCCCCACACCTCCCCCCCAGCTCTACCAGCCTCTGCCACCACCCCGGGGTGGGGGGGGTGTAACCCACAGGCTGGCCAATAACCTACAGCCTCACTCCGGGGTGGGGGGGGGTGCCCAGATCAAGTCTCTCTAGAATCTGAACTGGGAAACATGACGAGACGCGGTCACTTAGAAACTGAAAGAATGCAGTGATGGAGAACTTGTGACCAGGCCGAGCTAGGGCTGGGGGGGGCTCTGAATAGCTAAGAGGGCACGAGAGCTGAAGCACAGGGGAGGGAAAACCAGGAGTGGGCAAAGCAGCCGACTGGCAGGAGAAGGGGAAGAGAGGCTCCCCACTATGGAGCAAGGCCGGGGCCAAGCCCCGCGGGGCGAAGTTGCAGGGCCAAGTGCGGCCGAGGTTCCCAGAGCTGCCGGGAACCACCTTCCAAGGCCCGGTTCTTGGAGCTCAGCCCAGCCAGTTTGCATTCCTGCATTTCTGTGCGATTCCCATCACCCCATCGCACCACATGTGTCCCCACGAACAATACCCCTCCTCAGGCTCTCTGGAGCGGGTCTTGGCAGCATACGACCAAAAGCCAAAGCAGGGCAACATGCAAACAGGAAACAAGCCCTCCTGACAAACCATTCACAGAAAATACTCAACAGTCCTGGTATTTAAGGGAAACGCGGAGGCGCCTGGCTGGCTCCATCAGTCAAACACAGGACGCTTGGTCTCAGGGTTTTGAGTTCGAGTCCCGCACAGGGTGCAGAGATTACGTAAAAATGAAATCTTCAAGGAAAAAAGAAAGGAAATGCAGAACTAAAAACTCCACCCCCATGCCAAAAGAAACCCCCCCCAAAACCTCACACGGACCGAGAAGAGGCACAGGGAACTTTCTGAGGTAATGGGCAGGAAGGTGCTGCGTCCTGACAGAGGTGTGGGTCACTCTGCCATCAAAACTGATCAAAGTGACCATTTCACTGTATGTAAATTACGTCTCAGTTTTTAAAAATTCTCTAAGCCTAAACTGTTTCCTTGAGAGGGCTTGCATTTGGGGGTTATTTTTCAGAAATATATTGCTCCGGATAGATGTCACCAACGAGGCTGCCCAGGAGCAGCCTGATGCAAAAACACCCGAGTTTCTAGTTAAATATAGAACAGAAACAGCCAACACTCATCAATGGCGTTCCGGGTCAGAGCAGCAGCTAACTCTGAGGTGCGAGGGAGGGGGCAAGTGGGACTCCTCGCTGGGCTGGTATGTTCTGGATCTTGATCTTGGTCCAGCTGGGCATTTCCACCCTTACGTTCATGACCAAAGCATTTCCTGTACTTAGGCTGTATTACACCTTAACAGTAACACAGAAAGAAAGAATACCCAAGAATAGTCTAAAAGTGACTGCGTCTAGTGAAATGCTTATCTTCAGCCAAACTCTTCAGATGAATAACAAAGAAAATTAAGACTTGAGTTAACCCGTTGGTGGAGTTCTGCTATGCCACCCGAACTTGACTTCAGGGGGAAAAACTCATTCAGCAGAGTCGTTAGAATCATCAAATTAAACTCCATCCCATAGTGCTCATTGTTATATAACTGAATTCCGACAACCAGAACAGGCTTCTCAACGAGCAGCAGAGGGAAGAAAAGCCAATTTCCACATCCCTTTTCTACTTCAACGAACAAACAGAAAGAGCAAAATCCAGAAGAAGAAGTATTTAGTCAGAAACCCACTTCTGTGTTTTCAGAGAGAATTAACTCAAATTCACATATTAACCGTAGGTGCATTTAAAAAAAAACAAAACACGCGGGTTTTCATTTTTAGAGATTTACGGGTTTTCATTTTTAGAGATTAACGGTTTAAAAACATTTCAAGAACTCTAGATCCGGATCATAAGCATAAAAACAGAGTAAGTAACAGCAGAGCAATGGAAACAAATTATAAAATTAACACCTGTTTACAGATCATCCCATTTGAATACTTAAAAAAAAAGCCAAAGACTAAATTAAAATGTCAAGTACTTACAGCCATAATTAATTCAAAGGGGTGTTTATACACCCTCACCGGTGACTGGTATTTCTGCACCATGATTGTAACACAATAGCAACCGTCTCACACCTGCCAAACACAAATATATATGATTAAAAAAGCCATGATTAAGTCTGGAAAAAATTACGTGTGCATTTACTCATCATACCACAGTCTAACTGTAGAAAGGGACCTCAATAGGTCACATAATTCCCTACAAAATCCCGAAGAGGACGCTTGGACTGTACAAGGAAGGAGAAGGTGAAAAAACAGTAAGGGTGAAGGAAGTCCAAGTGTCATGAGGGAAACAGCTCTGCTCCGCCCCCCCTGCCCCCCCACCCCGGACCTCTCCAGGGGCTGGGCTGGGTGCAGGATCCCAGTTCTTTCCCGCACTGAAACGTTATGATCCAATAATTAGTTCCGGAATCATTTTCCCCTGCCACAACTTCTACAAGAAGCTAAATGAAAGTGATGGCACTTCAAGATATTAAGTCTGGTGACACACAAAAATAAAAACGGGAAGAAAATCCTACAGTATCTCAAATTATGGAATACTCCTCAAAAACTAGCTTCAAAGTAAACTTGTCAATCCCTGTTTTCTAACTGCGTAGACTACAATCTCAGAGGCCTGTCTTCAAACGGACAGCAACACCAAGCACTCGGGCTGAGCAGACCTCCAGCCTCAGACCGATGTTGATGACTGTCAATAATCACTAAATGGGGCCTACTTCCCAGAGAAAGGACTCCTCCTACAAGATAACCTATTCCCACTCTGGTGCCAGTCTACACGTATTTTTCTGAAAAATACACGTCTTTTGGAGTCCTCTGTGTGACTTTACTTTCCTATTTAAAAGTGAGGAAGAAGGGGCGCCTAGGTGGCTCAGTGGGTTAAGTCTCTGCCTTCAGCTCAGGTCATGTCTCAGGGGCCTAGGTTGGGCTCTCTGCTCAGCGGGGAGCAGGCTTCCCCCTCTCTCTGCCTGCGACTCTGCCTACTTGTGATCTCTCCTCCCTGTCAAATAAATAAAGTCTTCTTTTAAAAAAAAAAAAAGTGAAGAAGAAAAATAAATCCAAAGAGCCTACCTGTCCTGCTGAGAATAATCATTAAGGATGTCACTTCATGCTGAATACGGTCAGAGAATATTCGAACCTACAAAACGGAATATCCTCAAGGCGCCCAAAGTCTAGCTGTAATAAAAAAAAAAAAAAATGGAGATATATTTTATTTCAGAAGATTCTTATCTCTATCATTCCATTTCACCAGGTCTGGAACTCTCTGGTGTTTGTTCAGCATATCTCTCCCGGCAAGAACAGGTTATGTTGGACAACACCGGCAGTCTGAAAGCTGCTACAGAACTACTCCCGGTGACCTCAAAGCAGTCATTTGACTTCCTTCGGACTCGGTTTCGCCTCTGTAAAATGAGGTTTCGGGTGAGATAATCTCGAAGAACGTCCAACTCTGAAATCACAACGTTCAGAGCCAAACTCCGGAGTCCTGCGCCTCACTCCGCCCGGCACTAATACGGGGTCTGGGACTGGGAGGTCCCGATGCGCCGGGACCACGTTCTATTCCGTTCTGCAAACCTGACCAGGCTGGTGCACAATTCTGAAATGGGAAAAATTAACTTCAGAGCATCTCCCGGAGACAGGGAGGCTGGTTACAGGGTATAAAAAGGGTTGCGGGGGTTGGGGGAGACTTGAAAAGCAGAATGCTCGGTGGAGACACTAACACCCATTCAGGATTCCACCGCCCGGAAGAACCCAGAGTGACTACGCCGGGAACCTGCTAATTCACGAGCTTCTCAACTCCTGCCGGCGCCCGGCTTCGGATGCTCAGGTCCGGAGATACGTGGGACTCCGGAGTTACAACGGCCAGGTGGCATCCCGGACCAGGGCAGCCTCTATTGCATGACAATCGGTGCTTAAAAATTAGCCAATGGCCGGAACCAGGGAGTCCGCCGCGCGCAGGCGGAGGGGCGGCCGGGCCCTCGGGTCGGTCCGGAGGGTCCAGCGCCGCGGCTCCCGCGGGCCCCCAGCCCCGGCCAGCCCGGGCGTGGGGAGCCGAGGGCGGGCGTGGATCCCAAAGTCTGCTCCCCCCAGGGAGGGCTCCCGGAGTGCGAAGGTGGGGGCGAGGGTGGGGGCTACCGGGGCAGCGGGGGCGGTGGGGCCCGCTCCGGCCCCGGCCGAGGAAGCAAAGGGGCAGCGAAGAGCCTCGCGGCGCTGGGAGGGGCCGAGCCGGGGTCGCGCTCGGAGCCCGCCGCGGAGACGCGCGCCTACCTCTTGTCAAAAAGGCCGGGCCCGGGACGCGGGGCGGCGGGGGGCGCTCATGCCGGCAGCTCCGTGGTGCCGTCGCCGTTCTACTGCCGGTGGCCGCAGCTCCGCCGCCGGTTCCGGGGAGTGGACCGGGGCGGGGGGGGGGGGGGGGGGGGGGGGGGGGGGGGGGGGGGGGCGGGGGGGGGGGGGGCGCGGCGAGGCTCGAGTGGTTGTTACGGGTGACGGGGAGGGCGGGGCCGGGCGGCCGGAAGGAGCGCGCGTGCGCGAGCGCAGCCGACGGACGAAGGCGGGCGCGACGACCGTTGCTAGGGGAGGGGGGGGGGCACCACCCGGGCCGAGCCGCGTTGCGCAGGCGCCATCTCGGGGGCAGGCGGGCGTGGGAGGAGCTCGGAGCTGGCGCGGGCCGTGACGCACCGGCTGGTCTCGCTAGAGGCCGCTGGCTCCGCCCTGTTTGCGTCACGGGGCGGGGCGAGGGGCGGAGCGAGATGCCAAAGGAGGCTTCGGGCTCGGGTCCGCTTCTGGCCTTCTGGTTTTGCGGCTGCCCGGGGCCGGGGCCAGGGCGCTGCCCCGAGGTCTGGCCGTCGCCGGAGGGCCGGGGCCTCCTCATTTTTTGTGCACTGCTCCGGAGCGGTAGGCCTCCCCCTTTGGTGCCCTGACCACATTCTCGCCGAGTAAGGCCCATGAGGCGGGTGCCCGGGCTCGGGAGGGGCTGGGTGGAGCCGAGCGTCGTCTTGTAGACACGTCCGGACCCCGCGGTGGAGCTGACGTGGGGCCAGGCCGGCCCCCCGAGACTAGGGGGGCGGCGTTCCGGCGGGACAGCGCAGTTCCAGCCGCCCCTCCGAAGCTCGAGTGTGATGCACGCGGAGATGCGATCCCTGAGGGGCGAGGACCTTGGAGGGCCACCGCGCTCGTCCGCCCACACAGCCAGGCTGGCTCTGCAGCCCACGGTGAGTTCTCCTGCGGTGTCCCCGCTGCGCCCTCCGCATGAGTCACCCTGGGCGGCCGCACGTCGGATGCACAGCCCATTTCCGGAGCGGCTGCGGAATTTCCTTCAGGGCCACTTGAGCAGCCAAACGGGAACATCGAGAACATCGCTGACGACTTGATCACGCCTCGTTTTTCGCAAACCATCATTTTCCAGCTGGAGCACCCACACTGCTCACGGCGCTCAGCTCCGACTGGCTTTCGCCTGTTTGTAAAAATCACACCCACCTTCGAAAGATGCTTTCAAAAAAGAGACATCCCGGGAATGACGAGCCTCCTGGTGGGAGTGAACAGCAGCTCCTAGGAAATGGTCTTGGTGAAAACTGACCGGATCTGATAAGCCCGAAGGTGTAACCACCAATGTACAGGACACAGAGGACAGAGGAACAAGCCAAATGATACCATGGGGAAAACAATGGCCTGAGTGTCAACCCTGCAAGACAAACACATTCTTTATCAGATAAATTCCAAAGGAAGGAAAGGGGGAAGGGCCTACAAGGGGTTGGGAGATCACCGATCTGTACACTTAGGACTCCTACACTTTTGTCTGTATATAGTACACTTCAGTTAAAACTTTTCAAGAAAAAAACAGACCTGAGACATCAACCTATTGCGGTATATGAACTTGATTTCCATCCTGATTTTCACAAAGTGTTATGAAACTGGGGAGCTTAAACACTTTGAACATACAGTGATACTAAAAAAATTACTAATTTTTAAGGCGGGATATGGTATTATGGCTAACATTTTTCAAAGAAGCCCTGTCTTTTAGGTACACGCTGAAATACTTTGGAGCAAAATGATGTATTGTCCAGGATTACCTTCAAAATAAGCCAGGTGGGGAGAAGAGGGAGTAAAGGCTTAGATGAAATAAGACTGGTCCTAAGTTGGTAATTGATCATTGTGTGATTGTGTCCATATCTGTGTATGTTTGTAATCACCAATAACAAAACGTTTTCACACATGAAAAAGATGGCCTATCACCCCTGAGGCTGGGAAATCAAGACATAATTACAAAAGACATATTTGAAGATGTCTCAAGAAATAGTAGTACCAATCCTACAAGAACAGGCTCTCAAGGAATCTAATTGGAAGGAAACAACCCTTGTTTAGATGTATAAATTATGGTATGTTTGTTTTTAAATCAGTCTTACTGCGCAAGTGTCTGAAACCCATAAGAAAGTCTACCGAGGGTCATACTACGGAGTTCAGTGAAAAGAACCAGTCCCTGTCTTGTTAGCACATGCACACGGAGCTCTTACTGTATGGCAGATCCTGTGTGAGGCATAATGATGAGTACGGTGTGGAAGAGAGAGCAGAGAAGTGAGGGGACCAGGGTTGGCGGTCGGTGACCAGAACCCCCAAAGTAAAAGTGTCATGACAAAATAGAAGCGTATGTCCCCCACCTGTGAACTCAGTCCAAGGCTGGTATGGTGCCTCCATCACCAATATCAATGGCCAGCTCCCCCAAAGGACCATCAGAATAACGGGTTGATGAACCAAACCAAGGCAAAGGTGACTGAAGCAACAACAGCAGGGGAGAGCTCCACTGGACCAGAGTCAGCCAGGAGACACTCTTGGTCCATCAGCTGGGGGAGGTCAGGGGTACATTTCAGGGTGTAAGGGTCTTGGCTTAAGTGTTCAAGGCAGGCCTCTCAAAGCTGAGACCTCAGAAGGACCGGGCCATTTTGTGATGTAGTTGTTAAGGCCTGGTGGACACAACCAGCAGAAGGTCTCGAAGATTCTAGTCTTTTTTTTTTTTTATTAAAGATTTTATTTATTTGTCAGAGAGGGAGAGAGAGAGAGCGAGCACAGGCAGACAGAATGGCAGGCAGAGGCAGAGGGAGAAGCAGGCTCCCCGCCAAGCAAGGAGCCCGATGTGGGACTCGATCCCAGGACGCTGGGATCATGACCTGAGCTGAAGGCAGCTGCTTAACCAACTGAGCCACCCAGGCGTCCCGTCGAAGATTCTAGTCTTGATAAGGGAACAGTTGTCTGATAAACAAGCCGTTTACCCGGTGAGCAAACTATCCTCCTGAGAGGGGGTCGTTTGCCAAGATGAGCCACCATTTGTTAGAAAATCTTTTTCAGGAGTATCCTGAAGCAAATGGTGAAGCTCTTTATTGGTTACTTATCTGACCAGGCAAGAATTCTCTAGATAAACAGTCCGTGTTGACACAGGAGTCCTGACAGTTAAGCTATGTGGATTCCGGTGGTCTCATTCCTCATCATCAGGACCATGGGTCCCTTCTGTCTTGCTGCCCTGCCCTTATCTCAATGTCAGCTCGGCCCCCAGCCAGCAGGTAAGGAGGAGAGAGCAAAGAGTACCATACACCTTTCCTTGAAAGACACTTCGTCGATGCAGCATGTGTGTGAACACAGAGGAAAGGGCAAGACTGATGGGATGGCGCAACACTAGTGGGGGTGACACAATGTGGCCTCCCCCGTCTGCAGCAGCACCCCTGCTCTCTTCCTCAAACTCTCTTGAAAGTCGTACTACGGGAGTGTTCTAAGACACCCTGAGTGAGGTCCCAGGTCAATGGGCATTTTTATTAGTAAATCCTCACCTATCCGTTGTCACCTCTCATTTGGTGGCTGAAAGCCTTGATGGGTGCCCTGGGATGGAGACCGAAGACTCCCAAGTTCTCGCATCCACAGAGCGACCCTCTGGTTCCTTTGGTTTCTCAGCTGAGTTACCTAGGGCCACCCCTGGCTGATGTGGTCAGGACGTGGTATCAGTGGCCTGTTCACATCTGCCTGGGCACCGACACTGAGCCAACAGGATTAACCAGAGTTGGGGACACTGTCCCTGCTCCCTACGGCCACATCTTCTCCAATGCTCTTAGTGCACTCCCAGGAGTCATCCCAAGGAAAGCATGGGAAGTTGGTGACACTGAGAGGATTGGGGGTATAGGTTAAGGGGAGGGTCATGGCAGGAGAGACACTAGGAGGCAGGTGACAGTCCTGGCTCAAATTTCAGCCTGCAGAGCCCAACCCCTTCCCCACCACAGACACAGCAACGGGAAGTAAGGTCTGAAAGATCCCTTTGAATGTAACTAAGAGTCAGGGTCAATTAAACATCGAGGCTGTGTGGCTCGATGTTTAAGATTAAGTGGCTTTTAATCTTATTCTCCAGCAGCCCGCCCCACCCTGGCATTTTCCCCTTGAATGTCGATCTGTCCCAGGGACATGTCGGCTCTCCTCCATGTCTGGAAGAGTTCACCTTCTCATTTGGTGGTAAAAGACAGCCTCGCAAAACATGACAGATTCTCCTGACATGGGCCATCTGGCAAAGTTTCCAGCCTGGAAAAGTATGGACAGTGTAGCTCACCCTACAGGCACAGTTTCCTGATGGAGCTCTGGCAGTCTTCCCGCGGCCTTGAGCTAATACCATTGCATCATTCGCAACCTGGGAAAACTTCAGGCCGAGAAGCCAGAACTGCAAAAGTTATCATCTGACCTTACACATTTCTGAAATACCTCATTTCAATCTGGAGAGGCAACGTTCTCCTTCCCTTAATCGGTTTCGCTGCCAAAAAAGCCTTCCTTCTTCCAGGGCCCTCTTCGTGCTGCTGGCAGAGTTCCGTTTCCAAACAACACAAACACAAAACTCACGCTTTGGCTCGAAAACCACACTGATGACAGAAATAAATGAAGCATCAAAGGCTGCCATCTGAGATCTTCTATAAACCCCGTCCCCAGCTTTCCTTTGTCCAGAATGATTTTTCTTTCCACTTCCACTCTGTCTGTTCATTTATTCATCCCTTTGTTAACTCAGCAAACATTTATTCAGCTCTGTAATTTATTCCGACACCACATTAAGCACAGGAGTGTGGGAAGATACAGTATATAAAAGCAGACCTGCCTTCCAGGTGCTCAGCCTGCTGCATAGGGCAGACATGGAAACAGGGACGATGTAGCTGGTAAGTTCTGCAGCCCTCCCTGAAGCCTTTCCTGTCACCTGTTCTTTTTCCATAATGCCTATGAACTTGACACTTCCACTTAGGGCATACCGCCTTCAATGAGACTGGAAAAGAATCGGGTCTCATCAGACTGTAACTTGCTTGGGTCCTAGGACCATATCCACTCATTTTCTTCTCCT